AATCCTAGTGAAGACTTGGTCTGTCACTGCTGAGTATATGTAAGATAGGGCCCTTGGTGCTTTAGACATCTCCTCATCATGAATCTTGGTTTGGTTTAGTGTGGGGTTTGCTCCCAACTGAGGAACTTGCTTCTCCTCCTCTACGTATTGTAACAACCTGTGGCCTCTTAAATAAGTCTTCATCTTGACAGCCCATACATGGAATTGATCTCCATTGAAGATGGGTGGAGAAAGTGAAGCTGAAGTTGCTGCCATGAAGATGATTATGTATGGTGTTGAGTTTTGTTAAGAGGTTTTTGTTTTTCCAGGTCCTGAAAGATCACAACAACTCGGATACCAATCATTGGTTTTTAGAGCTGGAGAATACTAAGGAAAGAGGACCAAAACAGATGTGAGAGAGAGTTGTAGAGAGAGAAAATCTAAACTGAAATTTTGCTCTATTTTGCATTAAAAAACAGAGATAATTTATACACAAAGTTAGTCCACTGTATCACCTAATGCAGTGGATATTTTACAAGTTTGAATTTAAACCAAACACATACAACTAATAAAAGTACAAACATTTCAAATACATTCCTTAATCAAAGCTGAATTCACCTAAACACATCACTAATGAACATTACAAAAGTCTTTCAAACAGTGACAAAAAAACTGCAGCTTCACGCACAACACCATTTCAAACTGTGGCGCCAAAAACTTGCAACTCCCACCGTGTGTTGACTTCATCATTTCCAGCAAGATATCATCATCTTCAACAAAGCCTAACGACCTTCCACATCTGTACCCCAATGTTAGATTAGTGTTGCCATCACATTCAAACTTGGACCTGAATCAATTATCAATGTGAATACTTCTCCAACATGAAGTTCCTAATATAAAAAGAAAATAATAATAATATTATTATAATTATAATAACTCTATGAGTTGGATATGATACCTCATTGGTGAGGTGAAGGTAAAATCTATGAAAGTACCTGTTGGAGGATTGTATCTTAGTATTCTACCATCCTTAACTCCTGTATAGAATGCTCCACTGCGCATCTCGAAGGCAAACGATTCTGCACCCACGATTGACAGTGGCATGGTATCCTAGTGAAGGATGGGACATACATGACCATAGAAGGCAAAGATAAGACAGAAACCAATATGCAAATTAAGCATGGCCAAAGTTTTGAAGCAAAGGATTGGAGCCATTTTTTTTTTGAATGTGGATTCATGGATATCCATGCTCGTATTTATAGGCATTCCACGTTTTAAGTTATGGTGCAGCTTGAAAGACCTGATTGAATCAATTCAGAAATCCAACCTTTTCAAAAAGAATTTACAATAACAAATTGCTCACGGCCGGCTTCATAACTCTAGGTACCACACACACAACCTTGTAATAGAAGATGAAACTAGCTAAAACTTCTGGCGCTAAAGTCTTAAGAAATTTTAAAATTTTCATGGTATTTTACTTATTACTATGCGAAGTCACAACTCATCTATGGAATTACGAAACACTCAAAGAGTTTAATAATAGAGTGAGGACTTAACGGCTTTGTTGCTGTTAATGCCAGAGAATAATAAGAAAAGAAAATGGTCAAAAGAATGGAGAGACAGTTGTAACTGCATTCACACACTTAACTGAGTTTTACAACAAAACAAATAAAGCAAAATATCCACGGTTAATAACCACTTTGCAGGGACATTTTATACACCATTAATCCAAAACCACACATTAAGACCTACTATAACAACCATTATGGAAAAATCCCATATAACCTGGCTGTACACACCTAAACCATCACAAAATCAATCAAATACAGCTGCCCAACAAAACAAACAGACAGCAAATTGCAGTTCCCTTTTGGCGCCAAAACAGATTTGAAACAACTTAACAAACTGCTACATTTCTAGCAAAATATCAGAATTTAACACTCCTCGATATTTTTTTTTTGCTGAAAACACCAAGTCTGAGTCTGAAATCTTTAAACTTGGCTTTGGAAACAGCTTTAGTCATAATGTCAACCACTTGAAATTCACCCCTGCAGTGAATCAGTCCCACTTTACCAATTTGCTCAGCTTCTCTCACTGCATGAAACTTAATTTTTATGTGCTTTTTACGTCTATGATGCACTGGATTTTTAGCCATTGCTACAGCTGATTGGTTATCACACATGATTGCAGTAGGCTTTACTTGTTTCAACTTCAAATCTTCAAGAATTTTTCTCAGCCAAATGGCTTGATTCATAGCAGCAACAACTGAAATATACTCTGCTTCTGTTGTTGATTAAGCCACGATTTCTTGCTTTTTGGAAAGCTAGCAAATTGCACCACAATTCAGAAAAAATGCATACTCTAAAGTGCTCCTTATGTCATTTGTTGAACCAACCCAGTCATTGTCTGAAAAACCAACCAGTTTGAAGTCTTTTGATCTCCTGAACCACACCCTTAAGTCAGTGCTGCCCTTCACATATCTCAACACCCTTTTTGCAGCCTTGAAATGAGTCTCTATTGGTCGACTCATAAATCTAGACAGCAGACTCGTGGCATACATTATGTCTGGCCTGGTTGCCATCAAGTACAGCAGGCAACCAATCAAGCTCCTATATAACCCTTCATCAATCTTCTCAGCCTCATCATTGTTTGATAATTTCACATTTGGAACCAATGGTAAATCCACTGGTTTGCAATTCTCCATGCTAAACTTTTTGAGAACTTCACTTGCATACCTGTTTTAGTTCACAAAAATACCATCTGCATCCTGATCAATTTCCATCCCAAGGAAGTATGACATTTCCCCTAAGTCTGTCATTTCAAACTCACTGTGCATGGACTTTTTGAATTCCTCCAATTGAGCATGTTTGCTTCCAATCACTAGAAGATCATCCACATACAGAGAAATGATCATCACATCATCTTCAGCTTCTCTAACATATAAAGTGTGCTCATTTGGACTCCTCACAAAGTCTAAACTGATCAAGTGGTCATTAATCCTGATATACCAGGCCCTTGGTGCATGTTTTAGGCCATATAAGGCCTTCTTCAACAGGTAGACTTTTCCCTCTCCTCCTTGAATTTGATACCCTTCTGGTTGTTCAACATAAATCTTCTCATTCAACTAGCCATTCAAGAAGGCAGATTTAACATCTAATTGATGAATTTTCCAAGAAAATTGAGCTGTCAGAGCAAGCAGCAATTTGATGGTATCATGCCAGGCAACTAGTGCAAATGTCTCTAGGAAATCTACTCCATATTGCTGCTCAAATCCTTTAACAACCAATCTAGCCTTATGCTTATGAATTGAACCATCCGGATTTAGCTTTTTCTTGAAAATCCATTTGACTTGTATCACTTTCCTGTTTTCTGGTTTGTCCACAAGCTTCTAGGTTTGATTCTTTTCTATCATGGCTAACTCCTCCTTCATGGAAATCCTCTAGGCTTTTGACTTTACTGCTTCTAAGTAACTTGAAGGTTCCATTTACATCAGCCAAAGATCTTGTTTCTCTAACATAAACTTCTTCATCTAATTCATCCCCTTGATCTTCTTCAAACTGATCAGCTGGTGTTTCAATCAATTGAGGTCTTGATTCTACATCAACCTTACCTTCCTCCCAATTCTAGACTCAATTCTCATCAACTTTAACATCTCTGAAAATAAGGATTTTCTTTGACTCAGGAATGTATATTCTATAGGCTTTAGATTGGCTGCTATAGCCAATAAAAGTTCTTGTCTAAGCTTTATCATCCAACTTTGTTCTCTTTGCAGTTGGTACTAAAACATAGCATATACTTCCAAAAACTTTAAGGTTATCCACTGCTGGGTTGACTCCAGTCCAGGCTTCAAATGGTGTTTGGTTGATCAAGGCTCTTGTAGGAAGTCTGTTAAGCAAGTACACCCCCGTATTAACAGCCTCTGCCCAGAAGGATTTTGGAAGTTTTCTCTCAACCACCATACATCTTGCCATCCATAACAGTCCTATTTTTCCTCTCACTAACTCCATTCTGCTGTGGAGTATAAAGGTTACTGAATTGATGTCTGATTCCAGCCTCCTTGCAAATCATTTCAAACTCTTGAGAAGTGTATTAAGTGTCATTGTCACTTCTCAAGGTTTCGATAGTCTTCTTGTTTGGTTTTCCACCAGTTGTTTGAATTTCTTAAATACTCCAGCCACCTCACTTTTCTACCTTATAAAATAAACCCAACACATCTGGGACCAGTCATCTATGAACAACACAAAATATCTACTTCCATTTAGGGATAAGGTTTGCATAGGGCCACACACATCCGAGTGAACAAGCTAAAGTTTTTCAGAGGCTCTTCAGGCTTGATTCACTAGAAAAGGCTTTATACTCAACTTGCCTAACTGACATGCTTGGCAAACTCCTTTTGGTTCTTCTACATTAGGCAGATTTGGTACTAAGTTTTTGGACCGAATTTCTCTTAAACTTCTATAATGTACATGGCCTAATCTCTTATGTCATATCTCAGTTTAATCTTCTTTAGCATTACATGCTTTGCATAGAGCATTCTTCCACATGATTGGAAAACTCTTTCCTACCATTCTTACTCTCATAATCTCACTTCCCTCATTGTCCTAGATTATGCATAATTGATTTTGAAAATGCAATGCATGATCCTTTTCCAGCATCTATCCCACACTAAGGAGACTTTGATTAATTTCAGGTGCATAAAGTACATTAGTAATCAGCTTCATACATGTTGGTGTCTGGACAACAACATCTCTTTTCCCTTTTGCTTCCACGAACTCTCCATTTCCCACTCTGATTCTTGACCGATGTGAATGATCCATGTTCACAAAACTCTGCAGGTCTGGTGTCATGTGATGCGTACATCCGCTGTCAATCAACCAGGTTTCATCACATGCTTGAATCAAACTAGATGAGGCCACAAATAACTTCTTTGTCTTCTGTCTTGGATGCTGTTCATTAGCCATTTGAGCTTGCTGTTGGGACTGCTTTCCCTTGTTTTTACAAACCCTTTCAATGTGGTCAAACTACTTGTAGGCCCTACACTGTATTCCTAGGCTAAACCAACATCTATTCTCTGCATGTCCCTTCTTCTTATAGTGAGAACAAGGTGGAAAATTTTTCATTCCACCAGTCTTGTTCCACTGAGCATTGGACCTTTCTTTTCCCTTCTCTTCTCCAACAAACCTCTTGTTGTTTCCTTCTGTAGACTTGCCTTTATGAGCTGCTAACATTGCACCTTCACTCGCATCCTCTTGCCTCAAGAGCCTTCTTAGCTCTTGTGCCTGCAAAGCATGGACCAGCTCAGTCAAAGTGATCCGAGATAGGTCTTTTGAGTCCTCCAAAGAAGAGATTTTTGCTTCAAATATTTCGGGTAAGCTTACTATCACCTTCTCCACTATTCTTTTAACTGTCATCTCCAATCCAAGCAACCTGATTTTGTTGACTATATTCATCAATCTGTCAACATATTCCTTCACTATCTTAGCTTCCTGCATTCTCAACGTCTCAAATTCCCTTCTTAAATTTAGAACCTGCATATTCCTTGTAATGTCACTCCTTATGAATTCCTCTCTAAACTTGTCCCATGATTCCGTTGTTGTTTCACATGCCATGATTCTTATAAAAACAAGGTCTGTGACAACTGAGTGAATGTGGGACAAGGCTCTTTGAGCCTTTGAAGCTTCTTCTTCATGCAATCGGATTTGGTTAAGTGTGGGATTTGGTCCCAACTGAGGGGGTTGTTTCTCTTCCTCTACGTACTGCCAGAGTCCTTGACCCCGTAGATATGCCTTTATTTCGACAGCCCATATATGATAATGCTCACCATTGAAGACAAGAGGTAAAAGAGAAGCTGTTTGAGTAGCCATAAATTCAAGAAAAATGTCTGATACAAAAGAGTTTTTCAGAGATATGGATAAGCTTATCAAGAAGGAGAAAAGGTTTCAGATTTTTCAGGTCAAGTGACCATGCTCTGATACCATTTTGTTGCTGCTAATGCCAGAGAATACTAAGAAAGGAAAATGGTCAAAAGAATGGAGAGAAGGTTGTAACTGCATTCACACACTTACCTGAGTTTTAGAATAAAACAAATAAAGCAAAATATCCACTGTTAACAACCACTTTGCAGGAATATTTTATACAACATTAATCGAAAACCATACATTAAGACCTACTATAACAACCATGGAAAAATCCCTTATAACCTGGCTGCACACACCTAAACCATCACAAATAAATCAAATACAGCTGCCCAACAAAACAAACAGACAGCAGATTGCAGTTCCCTTTTGGCGCCAGAGCAGATTCAAAACAGCTTAACAAACTGCCACATTTCCAGCAAAATATCAGAATTTAACAGGCTTGTTTAAGTTTTTTAGTGGTTACTTTGAGTTTAAAATTTACCAGAATGATCACTTTTTTTCGAAGGAATTGAAAGGGTTTGATAATGGATAGAGTTGCCACTCACAATTCTTGAACTTTGGGTAATGATTATGTAAGTACAATCATAGTACGTAGTTCAAGGTCAATGTCTGAAAAATCCTGCCATCTTCTCTATAGCCTTTGTCCTGAAGGTGCTGCTACTGCATTAATTGTCATCCAAAACTCACCTTTAAGGTGGTGAACTTGTAATTCATGTGCTGAGACAGCTATGATGCCTACTGAATACTATATATAAAATTCAACCTTTAGAGATGCAAGTCTCTGTACTAGCTTTACTTGGTCAACTTTCTTGATAATATCTGCTGAAGTTTGCTGATGAATAAAATGTTAATTGATTACTGCACAGTTTGTATTGTCGTTGATACAACATATTCTCAACAACTGCTTCAAGCAGAGATGGTAAGAACTGCATCCAAACTTCGTAAAATAATGAATGATATTTGAAAGCTAGAAGAACAGAAGATATACAATGAACTAGAGCAGAGAGGGTTTAAATTAATTTGAAGTAACAGGTAATATTACAACTTAATTTGGATGAATCTATCGGCAGCAAAAATCGTGACTATTATTATTATTATCCGTTTTTTTCTGAGGCCTGTAAACAAGACCATCCTGAGATAATATTATTGAAAGCCTTATTAAATAGTATGCCGATACATGCCAGTCATGACCCCTTCTACTTGTACACGCCAATGAAATTGGTATACATTGATCCTATGTAAAGTGCTCCAGAGAACTCCTGAACTTCACTGACCAATGTAGTTCCGTATTGGAGATTTATCGGCCGTGATTCCTTAACAGTTCCATTTGCATCGAGTCTTATTCCCTCAGGTTTCATAAGTAGTGGAATAATTGTTTCTTGGTTCACCGCCACCCAAAAATCTCCGCCCCGATTCCTCTTAATGTTGTCTGGCCTCCCTTTGAAGGTGATGAGAACTTCAGCTGTGTTAGCTTTTGGACCTTTAAGCCAATACTTCTGAATTCTTTTCCCAATAAATTCAGTCACAAGAACGAACGTGCCATCAGGACTGACAGCAGTCCCCGCAGGACCTGAAAGCCCCTTAAGTAACACAGTAACCTGTTTGGTTTTAATGTCATACTTTAACAATCTTCCTGTTGAATCGTTTTTGGCAATTGCAAGTAGAATTTGACTGCAAAATAAGAGAGAGTATTTCAACTTTTGTTCTTCATTTGATTGTAAAAACCATAACTAAATAAGAGAAATATGCCTTATTCGGTAAACAGCACTGGCATCTGTAAAATACACATCTCCAGTTACAGGATCAACGTCCAATCCATCGGGAGAGCGAAAGGGTACCCCGTTTGCACTTGTGGCAAGTTGTGTTGCAATTTGTTGCATTTGAGAGAAGAAGACGTTGAGTAAACTTGAAGAGAAGAAGAAAAGACTTTCTCATATTTTTCACGTGATTCTGAACAGTTAATATACAAACACATGCATCACTTTTCTGTTTATTTAGAAAGTAACTAATCTTACTAATCTAACTGATTCTAACTAATTACACTGACTCTGACGTATAACAAACTTCAGTTAGCTCAGCTGCCACGTAACAATCCTGGCCAACTTGCCCTTCAACACAATTGTCTGATTTTTCGGCAACACCAGAAGGCCGAGATAAGCATCAGCGATGTAGAGGTCTCCTGTTAAGTTGTTGAATCCCAAACCTAGTGGCCTCCCACATGTAGGTCCTAGAGCTGGGATGCTGTAGCCAACACACAGTGCCTTGGACCTGAAGCATGGTTAAGGTTAAAAAAAATTTATACTCTGTAAAAGTTGTTGATGGAAATGAAAGGATTAAATGTTGTGAATGTCAATGGCCGAATGGAGGCTAAATTAACCAAGTTATCATGAAAGGGATTTCATTGCAACTTCAAAGGACAGATTCATTCAGTTTAGTAACGTACGCATTACAAAACAAGTGTAAAGAGGGATAAGTTTTATGAAGTTTTTTATTAATTATTTCTTAGTGAAAAAGCTGGGTAATTATGGATATAATTAGTGTTATAAAGTTAATATAAATAACAAGAGTTATTAAGCTTGCTAGAAGAATCCCGCAACACTTCAATTAAATTTTGATCAAATCATCCAAACCCAATCCTCAGTACAGCAGGTTTACTATATATGCATATATAAACATGAATATATGATAAAAATATATATTGTGGTTTTGATTACCTGTTGGGTGAAGTGACACCATAATCTACAAAACCAGCACTCGGATTGACATATTTGAGAATTCTACCATCGGCAACACCCGTGTAAGGGCCAGCAACAGCAGCATCAAAAGCAGAAGACTCAGGGCCTACTGCGAACAAAGGGAGTGGCAGCTTTACATAGTTGAGAGAATGAAGAACAGAAGGCAAAGATAAGAAGAAAATAATAAGAGCAATGGGGAACATGGCTGCAGGTGCGAAAATGGAGTCCATACATGCAAATATGCAAAGTCTGTCGGTGGAATTTGGAGCACAAGTAATACAGAAGATGCATGGACCTTCACAGTTAATTAATATTTATAGCAAAATCCAGAGCTCTGTTGCTTGTTACTATGACTCAAAACTTCACAGTTAATTAAATATTTTAAGTAGTGTAGCGTAGCGTAGGAAAGAGAAGAAAGGTAACCCTATATTTTTTATTTTTTATTTTTATTTTTATTTTTTTTATTTTTTTCAGATTTGAAAGTTGTGGCATGAAACGTTTCTCTTTTCCAGAATTATTAGACATTGAAATAGTTACCGAGTTTCGTTTCCGAACCCAGGTAAAAGAATGCACCCTTTTATCATATTAATTTCAGAATTAATAAAGACCGCTTCTCCAATAAAAATTAATTATATTTGATAACAATTTGATTGGGTGACGATAGAGATGACATATTTACTTCAATTCTTAATGCTTTAAGAGCTAAAGACAGTTGCAAATATGATATTTGATGACAAAATGTTCCAAGTTTGTAATCTGTTCCATTCCTCTACTTGTATAGAATTTTTGTTTTTTATTTTTATTGAATATATAAACAAAATAGATTAACATTAACTATTCGATATATGTTCTTTTAACATAGTCACGGCGCAAATTTTTGAAGATATGGATTAGGTTTTTCAATAAAATATTCACTTTTAATGTAAGATAATGATAATAAATTGAAAATTCTAAATATTTTTGTTTAACGTTTTATAAGAATGAAGTTTTTTTTCTTTCTTTAAAAGGAAATATTGAGAAGATATCTAACATGGTCTCCCAAGAGGAGGATCTAACATAATCTCTCAAGTTCGAGTCTCTTTTAGGGTAAAAGAGCAAGAGTAGGATTTAACGTAGTCTATCGAGTCCAAGTTCCCACGGTTGCTAATAGGGGTGGATTCTAGAGCTTTTACCCAGTGGTGGTCCCGAAAAATCAGTTGAAGTACGCGTAAACTGGCCTGAGTACCCCTGGTCGTACATATGTTTGGAAAGAAATAATGTTATAGCACATTATTATGTTATAATTTCAATAATATGATAGTGATTTTTATTTAGAACATTAATATTACAAGCTGCTGATGGTGAATTCTAATTGACATACAGTAAAACTCCTCTATAATCATAATGGTGGGATCAAATCAATTTATTACTATAAGGAGATTATAATTTAATAGAGGTGTAATTACAAAAAATATTGTTTTCATTTCTTATTTTATAATTCTCATTTTAGTAGTATGTATTAGGATTTCAATTCATTGTTTCAGTAGTCATTGCTGCAATTAGACAAGAAGAGAAAGGAGATAATCCTGAGAATGATAGTACGAAATTACAAAAAGTTTCGTACCAAGAAGCTCTAAACATGCTTGAGAAGGTAGAAATATTTTAGCTTCAATAATAAGATGTCTATGTTAATGAGTTATTATATACTCGTAAGTTAAAAGATGTGATAATAACTCTAAAGTATAAATCATTGTCCCAAACACTTTAGATAAATATTTTTTATTTTATCTTAAACCTTTAATCTAATATAACATATATATTTTTTGCAATATACATATAATTATTACTATGTGGAAGTAATTTTTGTAAGATGAGATTTAGAAAAATTATAACTTATTACAATGTGAACTTTATTCTGATTTATAATTATCCCAAGTTGGGATTAATTTTTTTTATGATTATATAGAGGTTATTCCGATATAGAGTATCACTATAAAAAAGTTTTATTGTATTTAAGCAAAATTATCTTGATAATTTTATTATTTTCAAATCGATTTCTCATTTTTAAATGGAAAACAAGGTGAAGTTGAAATTACCTCCCGTGTCCGGATTCTATTCTTAATCGTCAATTTATGAGGAATGGAAGGAAGAATGAGAGTCAAAATCTAAGATGATAGGGGTCAGGGATAGGAATTAATTAAAAACCTCCCCGCCCTGCTACCCTATCAAGAC